TCTATCTATCTATCTATCTATCTATCTATCTATCTATCTATCTATCTTCATTTATCTATCTAATACATTGGAATAAACAAAGATACATATTTATTACTATGTAATTAGTAGTATTCATAGATTAAGACACACTAATATATACCTTTTTCCATTACTTCTCAATATATATATATATTTTTAAATTATCTATCTATCTATCTATCTATCTATCTATCTATCTATCTATCTATCTATCTATCTATCTATCTATCTATCTATCTATCTATTTATATTATTCATAGTATTCATAGATTAAGGTACACTATATAGTATACATCCCTTTACCATTTTTTCTGAAAATATAAATATTTTTTAATAATAAATCAATCTGTATGCACATTTTCTATCTATACACAGTATTTAAACATATACACATACATATATTTATAATCACAATAACATAGAGTTAATTTATTTCCTTATCAGTAAGTTTCTGAAGATTCTCTCTCTATTCAAATGCTCAAATAAGAAGGAAAGCTTAGGATTATTTTAGGATTTAAAACTCTGGATGTTTCCCAGGGTGCACCACCCGGTGGACTTCCCCGCCTGGTGCGAGGTTCGCGTGGAGCCGGTCACCTGCCGGGCGTCCCTGGTCCAGTCCACTGACCCGCGGAGGCCCTGTGAGCCAGGCCACGCCCACCTGGACCCGGGCCACGCCCACCTGGACCCGGGCCACGCCCACCAGGACTCAGGCCACGCCCACCAGGACCAGCTGGAGAGCTGAACCTCTGCTCCTACACACTTTGGGCTTTTCCAAATCATCTTTATCGAGCCCTCGTCCCACTTCTAACTCAGTACCAGCAGCTTTACACGCCCCCAATAAGACATCTGTACGGCTAAATGCTTTTTTGCTAACTTCTGCCACTAAACAAAGAGCCTGTTAACCACCAACCATTAACCACTTCCTGTAAATACCAGCCAACGTGTAGACGACACCCTAATATATATTTCTGTTGATTTTGACTCGCGATGCATCTCATTTAAGAAAAGAAAAGAATAAAGTTCTTGTTTTGAAACAAACAAAAAGACTTAATTGCATTTTGTGGTCGTTACACTTCTGTACAAGCAGGAAAAAACTGTAAAAAATAGGAAAAAACAGGAAAAAACACTCAGAGGGAGAAAAGCTGCTTTCATAAAATGAGAAAGAACAAAAAAAAGTGTGCAAAAACATACGGAACGAATGAAGTGAAATGCAAAAAGAGGTCAAATGTACAGTAGATTGCGTCGATAAAACATCTGGTTGGTCCACATCTGGAACATCAGCTCAGATGTTGATGCATCTCATTTAAGAAAAGAAAAGAATAAAGTTCTTGTTTTGAAAC